TATTTGTCTTTAGTCTTAGGTATACTTAAGAAGTATTTAATATCCCTAGAGCCTAAGAAAGCGTATATCACTTTTCCTAAAGTCTTATTATTAGGCTAATAGGTAGATATATTAGGTATAACTATACCTAAAGATAAGATTAAAGCTATTACTAGCCTAGAATTCCTATATATACTATATTAGCTAGAAACGTACCTTAGTATAACTAGTATATTATACTAATATATCCTATTCTATATAAAGAAGTCTAAGCTGCTATAGATCTATAAGACTAAGCTCCTATATAGAAGCCTAGTTAAGGGATATCTATATTAAGAGTAGTCTACTTATATATAATATATATATCTAATAGAATATAAACTAGCCTCCTTTAATACTATTTAAATAGTCTTCTAGGATCCCTAGTAGCTAGCATATTAAGACTAGATATAGTGATTATATTTTAATATTAATATATCCTAGGAGGGTGGTTATAGAGCTATAGTATTCTATATAAAGTATAACTATATATATATAAACCTAAAGATAACCCTACTATTAACTATAGTAGAACTAATTATATTCCTAAGTTATCTACTAACCCTAGCTAAGAAATAATATTAGGTAACAGAATTAAAAGTCTCTTATATTATCTAGGTTATATATAAAATCCGATATATAATTAAGATAGCTCTAGATAACTTAATATTAGTCGCCTATACTAACTATATCGCGATGATTAATCTTACTATCTCCTTAGTATCTATATTACTAGATTAATTAAACCTATATCTAATATAAGTATCTTAGTACCTCTAATAGTTTTATTTATAAGTTTATTATAAAGTAGGTAAGTTAAACTATATCATAGACGCTCTCTCCTATCTATTAGTAGTAGATAAGGCCTAGCCCTATAATAATAATAACCTAGAAGCCTTATACACTAACCCTATATCTAATATAGCTAAGCCTATCAGCTCGGTATCTAACCTAGCGTTATTAGGCGTAGTATCTATATAGGATATTCCTAATAAGGCCTATACTTTCCTTATATCCTATATATAGCTCTCTAATAACTTTAAATAGTGTATATAAATAGCTTATAAGGAGGACCTTAAATAGAGCCTTATCCTTAATAAGCTCTAGAGGATAATATAGGACCCTAACCCTATTAAGCTATATCTGCCCTATAAGACTAATAATAGCTTACTATACTTAATATAGGCTAATAGCGACTATTAGCTATATATTCCTAATATAATTAAAGATAAGATCTTTAAAATAGTATATAGTAATAGATACCTTAACTTCTATTATACTTAATAGAAGATATAAGGCTTTATTATATATAAGGGAGTAAAGAAGCTCTAGATATATATTAACTAATATAATAAGTATAAGAAAAATATAATATATTATTATAAACTATATAGGTTACTTTAGCTAATTCTTATACCGCTAATCCTATTTTATATACTAATAATTAACTTTATTACTAGCCTACTATATATAAAAAAGGGGTTTAATATAATAGTAATCTATATATATAAGTCTATAAAATATATTAGCTTAATATCTAAGAAGAAAACCTAGAGTAGTAAAGAATAGGCTATTATAGTCCTCTATAACCTCTAGAAAGGCGACTAGGGGATCCCTATTATATAGATCTCTAACTAGGATAAGCACTTTATTTAAGGTTTTTAGAAGGGTATATTTACTACCCTATATACTAAGCTCCTATATATAGCGGTATATAATCTATAGGCAGACAGCTAATCAGAATATTTAAACTAAATAAGCGAGATCTAGCTATACTACTAGTAGAATATCTACTAAAAAACGGATTAGGATAAAGGTCTTATACTAATATAAGCCTTACTAAATACCTTAGTTAATATATCTACTAATAACTTACTATATAAGCTTATATTTAGTATTAATCTGTATATACTATAGAACCTCCTCTATTAGGCTTTTATTAGATCTCTTTAAGCGAACTAATAGGATACTAATAAATATACTAAGTATATAGCTATAGTAATAAAGAAGTAATATAATAGCTATTATAAGCCTATCTTTTTCTAGAAAAATAACTTAGTATACTTATACCTAGCGTAGGGGACTAAGCTAGGTTATATATAGCTATTATATAATATTATAAGGAAACTTACCTAGTAATATATTAAGTACTATATTATTAAATATATCAGACGCTTAATATATCGCTTATAGATACCGCTAAAGCTTACTAGGGCTTACCTAGTAGTATCTTTATAATATCTAGAATATACCCCTTAAGAAGGTAATATCTCTTTAGCTAAACCTCCCTCTATATTTAACCTATACTTCCTAGAAAACACAGACTATATAAATATAGACGTAGTCCTAGATATATAATATAGAGGCTATAGATAGGATTAATAAAAGTAGTACTTAGTCTAGTAGTCTAGAGTAGGGAATAAATATCTAAAGTAGCTAGATAAAGATAACCTAGTAGGAGTAGAAAAAAAGGTCCTAGAATACCTCTAAGATATCCTATATTATATATAGGAGTCTATAAATTAATTATATATCTAAAGCGGGCTTATTTATATTAGCGTTTATATTTAATATACCCTTTATTTAATACCTATACTTTATTTATTTATTTTTATATTTTTTTTACTACTCTTTTTCCTTATACTTTATCTACTCTTCTTCTATCTTTCTATCTATATCTCTTAGTTCTTTATCAGAACTACTACTATTTTATTATTTTTTTTATCTAAATCTACCTTTAATATAGCTAATTAACCTATTAACTAGCCCCCTATACCTCCCTAAATACTATAGAAGCTAACCTTAGCTTAGACCTTTTTAAGCTTAGCGAGGGAATCTTATTAAGGCTACCTATATTAAATATAAAGATATAAATATACTTATAGTCTCGCTATAATAGACTCTAATAGGAATATAATAACTAATACTAATAATAAATCTAGGCTAATTAAGGACTATAGTAGTTTACTTATAAATAATATAGCTAATAATAATAACTTAGGCTTACTTACTATAATACTTACCCTACTAGATAGTAGCTAGACTATAGATAACCTAAAGCCTAAGCTACCTAGTATACTAAAGACTAATATCACACAGTTTATAACCTATACTAAATAATCCTTTATACTCGCTATTTACTAGTTCTATAATAACTCTACCCTATATACCCTATATTAGGATAGATCTAATATATCTTATCTAACTAATAGATAATATAATAGAAAGAGACTAGACCTATTAACTAATAGGAAGATCGATATAAAAATAGTATTAATATAGGTAGTCTTCTACTTTTCTATTTATAATTATTAGGATAATATTAAATAAGAAATATATCTAGCCTTATCCTATATTTATCTAACCGATAAAGGAGTTTTCTATTACCTATATACTATAATACTATACTAACAGAGCTTATAATTCTAAGCTAACTTTAACTAATATAGAGATATCTATACTTCGCGTACTCCCCTAGACTCCCTAATAATTATCTAGACTAATAGTCTCCTATAATTCCCTATTTATAAGGTATTTTATATCCTTTATAGTAGCTAGAACCCTATATCCTACCTTATTAGTAGGAAGTACTATTTAAGCGTTTCAGAGTTCTATATTAGCGCTACTTTAGCCCTACCTAAAGCTATCTAGGTAAGTATAGAGGATTCTTTAACTAAGCTAGTACTCTATACTTTTAATTCTACTACCTACCTAAAACCTAGTATAAATAGGCCGGTTAACCTAGTCTATATAACTACTATTAGCTATAGCTAAAATAAGATAGTATACTAATTTATTATAAATAATAATCTAATAGTATATATATTAATCTACTAGACTAAGGTAAAGTAAGACCTAGTATATACCCGCCTATAAGATCTTAATAGCTTCTATAAATATATCTATAACGTAGTTAATAACTTCCCCTCTATTACCTTCCCTAATAATAAACTATATAACTAGACCTAGTAGACTATTCTAGAGTTAAGCTTTAATAGTAAGGCTTTTATCTATAGAAGACTATTCCTAAACTAAGACCCCTTAGTATAGGACATAGCTAAGATTAAGCTTATCTTATAGGAAGATATATATAAGATCCTTAACTTATTCGGTAACCCTACCGCTTATTAATAATAATACGCCTACTATAAAAGGACTAGAGAGGAGAGTATTATATCTAATATATATATACCTTCTTAGGGATAGGTTACTATCATAAAACCCTACTCTAGACTACTATAAAATACAGACCTCTGCTTCTAGATTAGCTAGATCGATAGGGCCCCTAATCTTATTAGACCAATTATATCTTTACTATTAGCTATCAAAGTACTATAGTAATATATTAGTACTAGTATAAATCTTATATATATTACTTCCCTTAACCACGCTAGACTAATCGACTTCCGCGCCTACTTTATTAAAGGGGACCCGCGCGTAGTACGCGCGATATAGGAAGGGCTCGGAGCTTCCCTAAACGCTGTTCGTGATACCACTGCTTTTACAGAGGGCCTTATACTTGTTAACCGATATATTGAAACTATAAAGGATAAGGTAATTAAGGCGGAAGTAGGGGCAATTACTACCTTAATACGGCCTCCACCGCAGACTCCCCTCTCTACCAACTAGCTGGCAATGGATTTCTAGGCGTATCATCTCCTGCTGCCGAGGGCGGCAGCACACTTTCAAAGGGGGCAGTTGTGAGGGCCTGGCCCTCAGGGGATGGATGACGGATGTATTATTAAGCAGCGTAGCTTATCCTACGCAGTAATTCCATAGCAATACAAGCATCTTTACCACAACCAGGCTTATTCCATAACATGTATTACTTCGGAATTGAATTTTAGGCCCTCACGGTTTTATCGATCGGGTGCCGCCGCTTCGTGGGGCTCAGGCCTCTCCCCTCATAAATGAACCACTAAACCCCAACGTGGTATCTCAGAATAGCTCAACTAAAAGCCTAGAACTCTTCACGATACTCACTATAATCCCGTAATGACTGCGATGGGGGTTATCTCATCTCCATTGTAGGTTCCCTAGAAAATCAAAAGGTTGGTATACTTGAGCTTCATGCTTGGTTAATCGAAGAAGACTCACGAGATCATAAGGACAGCATGAGACGCCGATAACCAGGTCCTTCAGAGCCTCCATCTCGATATAGTCTCCGGGCTTACTGTTGCTGATAGGCTTCAGGGTGTAATTGGGCGAGTTCATGAAAATGTTGAACGGGTCAGGAAGCTCGAGTCGTGAGGTAATACCATATGGCTCCATGGCTTCAGTTATGTTCATCGTGCAGGAACGATGACCTTCAAGACCACATTCAGCATAGACCTCCGGGAAGCAGGGCATGAATGTCATATCGTGGACTTTGCAGGTGTCGGCGGTAATAGTCAAAGCCGGAGCATCGTGGTTGGTGCGGAGATGCTCCCCAATGTCAGGACTGACACCCTGCAGTCGGAACTGGGTGTAAGATATCCGGACATGCTTCTTCAGGCCCGGCTCGTTGACCCAAGCCATAAAGTCAACAATGCGGAACCGCTCGCCTTTCGTAACCTCGAATGCGTAGCCTTGGGCAGCAGGGACAATGTGTGTCTTCGCAGTGGCAGGAAGGTTTTCCATGATTGTCGGATTAATCAGTACAATATTAGAAGATAATTGTCAGTATTTTGATGTGGCTGGCTTGAGTATGGAATTAGACATTGGACGAGGGAGAAAGTTGAAGTTATATATACACACACAGTTTGAAACCGAACGCGTCTACAGCAGCAGACCTCGGCGATGAGCGACAATTGCGGCACTTTCTAACATTAGTTAGTATAGTTATAGATTGAGTCGGTTGACGTAAGGATGTGTTTGCCACAACCTGCGGCGCAGCCCCAAAACGGAAATGGCGTTGCGGCAACCCAAACGGGCACCGCATCCACCGTTTTACTTCAATGTTCTCCACTTGATAATCTGCCTAGGTAAAGGGAGACTAAGCTACTGCATAATTTCTATCTTGGCCACTGAATATGTTTTCCATTGTTTTCATTGTCGTTTTGAATAGGGTCTTAAGCACAGCGCTTAGTTCTGTAGTTTGGGCTGCAGGTTGATATAGTATGATACGTGGAGGATGTCTAGGTGAACTGATAAGGCTTTATTTCTCAGATACCAAGTTACTGAATGTTGAAAGGGGAGAAAAATATGTGTCCAATGTCATGTTAGTGATCATATCCCTAATGTGTAATATCTTGCTTGGGAAGAAGTTACTCGGTAGCCTGAGGGTATCGCTGCAACCATTGGTCCTTGGTGAATCGCTCCCCCTTCGTGATCAGAAAAGCTTCGATTTTCGCATTCAGTTCTTTATATTATTGTGAGCTAGTGTTTTAATTTGTATTAGAGGACCATACTACTAGTACCTTCTACTGTCATCTCTTTTCGGGCTTGTAGCGAGTAATGGTCGCGAAATTCGTGCACAAGAATGAGATCCTCAGGGAGAAGGGTCCCTGTATACCTTCAGTCAATATAGAAGAAAACCTCCAAGGGCTTAAAGGAACAAACCAGCCATAATAGCATATATGTAAATGGTGGAACCATCCCAGGGTTTGACAGTGCGAACGAGCTTCTGCTGTGTCCTCGAGTTGGGGCGCATGGAAGCACCATTAGGGACTGAGATATATTAGTGGCATAGGCGGAATGATTTTGACTACCATCAACATACATTCATAAGAAGCTGGGTCGAGAGCCTTCGGTTGCACTTTTCCTGCTGTTGTAAGGAGGTCGAACATGCCGTGTGGTCGCGTTGGACCTGGCCAAGCCCGGAGTCGGATGGAGATGCCTGAGTTCACGCGAAAGATATCCTTGGGAATCTGAGTGAACGATTGAATGAATCTGTTATGCGACATCTCGATGAGTCCTTACATGTATCAAAAGCGCCGAGGATTCATTCGAGTATTAGGTACAAATACAATAAAATATTACAAATATTGCAACCTTGGGAGGTCACCTGCAAGGGCAGCCCGGTGGTAACTTGATCACATCAGTGCCGCGAGTACAAATTACAAGAGTACATATCGCACGAATCAAACAAAGAGTTCAATATAAAGAATAGTACTTATACGCCTATATCCATAACGATGTAGTTTAGTATGTAATCTGATTCATTTCCCGAAAGGTTGATTTTAAGATTCTCTAGGGTTGTCATTTTTTATGTCTTTTACATTTATTTTTGCATTTCTTTTTAAAATGGTTTCTTTTATCCTTTTTGAAGGACTTTTGTCCATTTATTGGTGATAGGGATAGAATAAGTAAGGGTTGGCCGTAAAATGCATGATTGAAGTATACTCCTCAAATCGAAGAACAATTGAAGAACGATCGAAGAACGATCGAAGATTGAACTGAAAACAAATTATGCATTGTTGATTTAAATAATGTAAACTTTATATATTGAGTACCTAGAATTCAAGCATAAAGAATTTGACCTTTGATATTTTATAGAGAATAGGTACAAAATGTAAACCTTTAGGCAGAATCTGAGGTGGCGCACTGCCGGGCATCCGTGGACGCCCTCTTAGTCAGGGTCGCCACCGAAAATTCAGGCACCCGTTGATCCCAATAGGCATAGTAGGTCTCGCCCCTCCCGTGATTCCGACATCATCGCCTAACAACGGACGGGTCTTTCAATTACTAATTTACCTTCCAACATTGAATTGCATAGGCAACCAGTGCTGCCTCACGACCCCCTACATATATAAGCGCAGATCCCTCCGCGATCGACGTCTTCCCAGATCAAACGTCTTCAAATTTCCATTCCTGATCGCGATGGCGGAGCGCATCTTGATGAACGAATTCAAGGGCCTTCTCAAAGAGAAGTGGGTTCACGTCCAGGTATTTCCACTGTCCTATTACTGAGAGTCTTTGGCACTTGTAGACTTGCAGTTGACTGACATATTTTGTATAGTTGCACGATGACGACATCTTCAACTGGGATGTCGCCCTGATCGTGATCAACCCAGACTCCATGTACTACGGCGGCTACTTTAAGGCCTCAATGACGTTCCCATCCAACTACCCCTATGCTCCACCAAGTATGGCATCTTCATCTCCTCCTTGTCGTCTTCAATGTGACTGACGAGATTTTTATTGTGATTAGAGTTCCGTTTCCTGCAACCCCTCCACCACCCAAACATTTACACCAACGGCAAACTATGCATCTCCATCCTTCACGCGCCCGGCGAAGACGAAATGTCCGGCGAACTTGCGTCGGAGCGCTGGTCCCCCGCGCAGCGCGTTGAATCGGTTCTTATCTCCATTATCTCTCTGCTTGACGATGCCGAGCCTTCCTCCCCCGCGAACGTCGATGCTGCCGTCCTGTTCCGCAATGAACCCGAAGTCTACCGCCAGCTTGTTAAGGCCGATGTCGAGAAGTCGAAGCTCGATATTCCTGCCGGTTTCGAGATGCCCACACACGATACTCCCGTCCGCGAGCCGGTGGAAAAGGAAGATCATGACTTCTGGGCCGATAGCGATGTCGACAGCGATGTTTTCGGTGGCAGCGACTCTGACGACGAACTCGACATGGGCCAGTCTAGCGGCAGCGATATGGAGGAGGACGAGGATGAATCGGCAGACGATGGTTCCACCGAGACGAAGAAGGTGTAAGACGGATTTTCGCCGTCTCTCGTCTGGGGAGTTGCTGCATGATGAGCCAATTCATGTCTGCTTCCCCAAGCATATTCAGCATTCTCGGCGTACCCTTTTGATCTTTCATACGATAGGCGTTTAGCGGGATCATTTTCAAGCATTATGGGTCTTATGGTTTTATGATAACATGCAATTTCCTAATGTTGCACAGATATTTTAGCGAAATGAAATCAAATTCTAATGTTCATTTTTGAATCTCAATCCGACTTTGAGCCACATCAGCCCTGACTCTGTATCATTGCGTTCACTTAACCCATAAATGCTCATTGCCGAGCAATAGTGGACTCTCCTCCCCCCACACTGTCCCCCACTTTAACCCCAAAGTATACATTTATGTATGGCTCCTATATCGGACCTGCAACCCATCTCAATATCACAGCTATATTTACCTACTCACTAAACCCGACTGCAAACTCATAAATCTTGCATCAAAACAGCAACAAACCACCAACCCTAAGATGGCAACCCAAACCCTGGCCGACTGGACAGTCTCTCTATCCTACTCCGACCTCCCTGAAGAAATAACCCACCCCACAGTGAGAAGCTTCTACAACATAGTCGGGTGCATAGCAGGCGGAAGCAAACACACCGCAACAACCACAGCCCGCAACGCCCATCTCCCTTCTCAGCACCACCTATTTCACACCTCCTCGGTACAAACATTTCCACCGACGCCATGCACGCGGCACTCTTCAACGGAATCGCCTCACACATCCACGAATATGACGACACACACCTAGGCACAATCATCCACCTAACAGGACCAGTAACATGTGCACTCCTCGCTATAATCCCGGCCCTCTTACGTCCCGTTTCCGGGGCCGAGTTCATAACCGCGCTAGTCGCTGGCATTGAAGCCGAGGGTAAAATCTTTTTGTTCTATCAGGAGTAAAGGGACTAAGAAATAGGATAAATATTTTCTACCCCTATAGAGTCAGTACGGTCTAGCTCGAGTTTCCTCGCAAAGAGTAGGATCAGCCTAGTATTGGTGATATTAGCTTAAGCCAGATATATAGGCATAGGTTCTATAAAGGAGGTTAGATACAAAGACAAGGGTTGAAAGATTTAAGTTGTAGGAGACGATAACGTCCAAGGGTCGACTTAAAGCGGATGGAGGTATAAGGACACCGGAAAGGATGGAAGACTATATAACTTATAGACGCCTTTTGTATTCAGATTTCTTAAGGAGAGTTGGGAATCTGCTCATCGATGCCACTGATCTCTATTAAGTTGGATGACCCCGAAGCATGAAAAGCTTTTAACGCGTCTATCTGTGTGTCCCACTCGCTGTTCTTGCCTCTTTCATATCCATGAATACACAGAAAACTCAGGTTATCCGGTAGACATTCTGCAAGCACGGCCTTTCCATTCTTTTCGCCGATACCTTCATGGACACCTTTAGCAAAGTACAATAGAGTTTGAATCCCCATGCCCAATCGTTTCAGTGCCACAAAGTCCTTTAGTGACCCACTATTTTTCCAAATCGATTGGAGAAATGTAAGAGTTGGTTCGAACCCGTCTGGATCAAGGGGTTCAAGTGGACCACCGGGTGTCACATCTAGTGACAGTCTGCCTTCTTCTAGCAAGCAAAGTGAAGAGTTGCATGCATAGTCAACATCAAGATTTAAAACCTCTAGTGTATTTTTGTGTGGACATATTGCTTTAATGAACGTCTTGATGTTGAAAGAAATGTGTCCTCTTTGATTGCTCCGTCCGCCATGGGAATATTGGAATTCCCGGAGAACCTTGCATGCCGATATCATCACCGCGAGATTTGTGGAACTGACTGAGGAGGAAGGCAATGAGAATTTGCTCACATTAGATCGGGTAACAATTGCAGATTGTTCACTGATGGTCGGCCACATGTCCCATATTTCGAACATACCCTCGGTTCTGATACATTCGATAGACAGGAACGTATCAAACAAACGAAAACAGCGTATAAAGCATGTCGTATCAGAGATGAGGTCATTAACCACAAGATTATTGAGGCGTTGGTTGTCCCACTTATGATCACCCTCTCTAATGATGTGTACTTTGCGAAGATTGCGTAGGAATGGTTTGTTTTTAGCATCGGAATTTGTTTGATAGAGGAGCTCGTGGAGCGGCCATTCGGTGGGTAAATCATAGCGGCCGCCTTTGGGATCTATAGTGGCCAGATACATCAAATTTGGAGACACAGTAATGAGTAGAGCCGTCAAAGCTTGCGAGGTGAAACTACCGCGGGCTTTCCACTCTCTAGCCTCTCTACATTGAGTTAGAACATCCCTAGAAACAACATCCTGGGGCACTTTTACCTCTCATCATCATCATACTCATCATCGTATTGTTCTTCTTTTTCTCCCTCCTTGCGTATGGTATTCGCTGCAGTTTGCTGCATGAGCATGTTCAGCACCTGGTCCTGCTTAGAGCCCGTGAACCCCGCATTTCCAACTGCATCTCGCAAAAGACTCAAATCGTTGTCGCCCAATTCGCGTTGGTGATCTCTCTGTGGGTAGATCTCAAGAATGGATATTGGGTCGCGACACTCGATATGGCGTACATAATGACCCAGGTATGGTTGTTTCAAAATAGCCATCAACAAGTCAAATGCCGCATTTCTACTCTCATCGTCACAGTGTATGATAATTTCATGAAACTTTTCCCGGTTTTCCAAATCGCACACGGTCTGAAGAGTGCGGCATGAGATTGAGAGAAAGGATATATCGTCAATCGAACAGTACGATAATACCTCGAGCTGTATCTCAAGAAGGAGACTGAGCAATGACATGGTCTATTCAGGCGTGTGATCTTTCTTAGGCTGGCCGAAGAAAAGGATCAAGGCTGTGTAAGATGGCACTATGTAATATGTGAGGTGAGGGAAAAAATACAGCGTGTTTAACCACTAGACCATTTTGAGTAAACACGATAGATTCCAACTGGATACACAGTCACCAGTTTGTTCTATTTTCTTGGGCCCTTAGCTACTAGTAAAACTTTACAGTACTTCGAGGCTGTATGTCGATTTCCGGGAATTTGAAAAACTGCATTTTTACGGTCTTGAAAACTACGTTGCTATGAGCTATGTAAAATATATGTAAGCTCCTGTTAGAAGCTAGGTATAACCTGATCACCTAGTGGAGGTGGCCTAGTTACTGTTGACATTGAGTATTGAAATCACATACTCACGCTGTACCTTGAACTAGGTAACTGGAACTCACAAATGCTGGGCCTATAGAATAAAGCAAGGCACGAGGTATCCTTCTTGTCTCTCATGTAACAGAGGGCCATGCACTAAGAGTGTTTCTTCATTACACGCTTGTTTAATTTTTTTTAGTTGTATACTAGTATTGAGGAGCATGTCGACTATGTCGTGGGTAGCTTGGAGCGCTCCATGACCAATGAGCAGTTGACAGCGAAGCTCGTTGACTCGTGTGTTGGGATTCTAGGAGAAGAGCGCACTGACAACAGACCGACGTGGGTCGAATCAAGGACGTGTCGTAGAGATAATGTTGATTGTACGACTAGACCTATAGTGAATCCCTTTTTACCTATTTTCTAGTATGCAATGTCGGGGAAATCATTTGTTTGATAAATCAAAACGTATTCTAAATCAGTCCGAACTTATCCATGTATGATTGTAGACAAATATGCTACGTGAAGCAACGAGATAACAAAATAGTAAAAACAATCTGTGTATAGGAGTGTAATGGCGGGATAGACCCGCGGATTCGTGCTGGAGAATCCAAAAGACCGAAATAAAACCAAAGAAAATACGATGTGCGCCTGTGTTAATCCATCCATCCATATGCCCGATTGTTGGGTTTGTCACTGACATAACCCTAGCAACCTTCTATCTATGCAGAGACAGCATCCTTGATCTCGCTGTAGATAGCGCCGAGCTCCTTGTGGAAGGCCTTCTCAGCCTTATCGATGATGCTGCCAATGCGCTCATCGACAGTGGGCTCCTTAGCCGCGACACCAGCCTTGTAACCACCTCCGGCAAGGATCTGAGTGTAATTGGCGGAACCACCACCGTTCCAGGCAAGAAGCTAAGATAAAGTCAGCTTGATCCATGTCATTTAGATTGGGGGGAAAACTTACGTTGGGGGTGTCGGAGGGAATGTCAGTAAGTGCGCCCTGAGTGGCGACGTTGATAAGAGCGGCCTTGAGCTGCTTAGGGGTAACATCGGCGACGGCATAGGCAGAGTCCTTGGCGGGTGCCAGGGAGACGTAGTAGGCCAACAAACCGGCGATGTGAGGGGAGGCCATGGAGGTGCCAGAAATGGTGTTGGTGGCATGCTCGCTACCAACCCAGGTGGAGAGGATGTTCAGACCGGGAGCAAAGATATCAGTGCACTTGCCGTAGTTGGAGAAGTAAGCACGCGAGTCAGTCAGGGTGGAGGCGCCAACGGTGACGGCCTTCTCGGCAGCAGCAGGGGAGTAGTTGCAAGCGTCAGCGTTGTCATTGCCGGCAGCGACAGCGAAGTGAATACCAGCGTCAACAGCGGCATTCACAGCAAGATCCAAGGTGCGGGAGCTACCACCACCGAGAGACATGTTGGCAACGCTACCCTTGAACTTCTTGTCGCCCTTCTTGCTCTTCTTGATGTGAGCCTCGGCCGCCCATTCAACACCCTTGACGACATCGGACATAGTACCCGAGCCGTTAGAGCGAAGAACCTTGACAGCGTAGACGTTGGCCTTCTTGGCAACACCGAACTTCTTGCCGGCAATAGTGCCAGAGCAGTGAGTTCCGTGACCGTTTCCATCCTCGTCGGCATCACCCTGGGGGATGGTCTTGCCCCATGTAGCACGGCCCTCGAAGTCAACGTGCTTGGTGTTGGTACCAGTATCAATAACGTAGGCATCGACACCCTCACCACCCTCCTCAGCATACAAATACTTGTTGAAGTTGCCGAAGGAGAGACTTTCACGGTGAGAGATACGGGCAAGACCCCAAGGGGCGTTCTTCTCAACAGTACCATCGGTCATAGTACGGACCTCAGAGTCCTTCTCGATGTATTCAACCTGTTTTGAGTCACATTAGCCGCCGACCTCGGTAACTTCCGCAAGGAGGGAATGGGATTACTCACATCAGGGTGACGGCGAATCTGCTCGATGACATCCTCGTGGAAGTGACCAGCATATCCTGTGAGTGATCCAGCAATTTGGAAAGTGTGCTTCAGGCCCATGAAAGCCTCAAAGTCAAAGTCGAACAGGGAGCGCTTCTTCAACTCCATCCGACCGGTATGAGCGGTGTGCACCTCCTGCACCCAGGTCTGGTGAGCGGAAGCAGAGCTCTCATCAACATGCTTCTTGAATACAATGATGTAGGAATCCGGGATATCTCGGGAGGTCATGGAGGAGAGGATAGGAGCTGCCTCATTGTGGATGGAGCCTACTGACACAGGCGAGGCAGCTACCAACAACGGGATCACTGTTAGGCTGAGGAAGCCTTTCATACTGGGCAAAGTGGAAAAGTAAACACGGCAGAAGAAACGGTGAAGTAAACGATAATTGTAGGTTGTAAAGGATGAGTGAAGGATAAGTTGGATGAAGAGGAGAAGGGGAAAGATGAGGAGAAGGGCAGCTTATCTAGGGAGGAGACGGGGGATCGATGATGCAAGCGGGTATTACATACGGTTACGCCGGCGGATGACCTGTCGATGTCGATCCAGTGGAGAACTGTTTGAGAATGGGGTACCCGATACGGTATGGTATGGTCAACTTGGTCTCGGGGACCCCAATGACAATCTGGAGCATCCACTTGACTGTGGCATATCTATTAGACTTATCATCAGATGAAGTATGATCTACGGAGTAAGTTGTTTGGATATCTCCCAGGCATGAATAATAAGTTAAAAAAAAAGTACCTATAGCAAAGTGGTGCAGGTGGTCACCTTCCCCCCGGGTACCTGGCAGTCTTGTCTTGCCATAGGCTATAGGCAACCCCCCTCGCACGGCCCAGAGTCTCCAAGGCAACTCATCCTCCGAAGTCGCGTGCTTTGTGCTCGGGTGACTCAGAAATTGGTCCAGTCCCCCTTGTCTTGCATGAGAGTGCCATTATTGGATACAACTTTGCCAATCTGCGGAGAAGCCCATCACATCATAGGACAATCATAGGATCACTTCCAAGCTTCTCCACATTGCTAAGAGCTGCGTCTTATCGCGCTTATCATGCCCTATCAGTTATCGCCCGTAATTTTCAAGTGTATTGTTCTTACAATACCACAACAGGGCTGTGTCCAGCCCCCCTCGCCCAAAGGACAACTTGGTCACCTGATATCCAACTTTCCCCTCCCCCGATAGCGAATTACAGAGGTGGCTGAATATTTGACATGGGGTTCTGCGGATGACGAGTGCTGCAAATTCTCCTAACCGCTAGGCTCCCTATCTTGGCACTAGCACTGTCACACACCAATGCAGACCGTTGTACCCGCCATTGAACATTCACGGTCTCTGATGGTCATACGCCATCGGAGCGGACGTGGATAAGATTTGGCTATGGCTCCGCCGGCTCCCCTCCACCCTCCCTCCCCCTCCGGATCGACCGAACGATTGGCCGAAGAGCTAGCCCCAACCATTGACCAGCTCAAGAGCGTCGGTGCAGGCACCGCGATCACTCTGTCCCAGGCTCAGTCAACAATCGAATCTCTCCTCCGCCTCCGCCACACCTTCATAGATGATGCACGTCCACGCACCGCCAAAGACGCATTCCGACATCTCCAGGGCTTTCAAACGCTGCTGGCGTTGGCGGACCAGGTAGCTGAGCTCTACGATCCGGTACACAACTCTAAGGAGGAACGAAAAGGCCTATTGGGTATCTTCAAAGATGTCCTCGGTGTATTGGCAGAGGGCCTGAAGGATCATTTTGGCAACAAGCGATATTTTGGTCGGAAGATAGTAGGGGGAGGTATTTCTGCACTGGAGCGAATTTTGACTGCGCTGGTCAAGAAGATAGACACAACTGAGGGTGACGCGCAACATCTCTATGGCGCCATTTTGGCCGCAGCTCTATGCCAGGAGACAATGTCGGGTATTTTTGTAACACTGAGCACCAAATTTCCCAAAAATGAGGACTCTCCGTCTCCAAAAGACGTCCAGGATGCCGTGGATCATTGCATTGGATCAGCTGAGACAGTGGAAGTGCCGGAACTACTTGGACCATTCCTTCGTGTGTGGTTGATGCACTCCTCTTTGTCATCTGGATATGACATTTTACGCCTCGCCTTGCCCGCTTGTCTCTGCCAATTGGCCTCGCAGTCTCGGAGGAACGTCGTAGCCCTACATGCCACTGATATGCTCACCTCAATTTTACCCCTCTTGTTCGATGGTGCACGGTCAGACAGGGAGAAAGCAATTTACCAAGTTCTCGCCCAATTTCTCAGCGTCCAGGGCATGAGTAGCTTGGATGATGCTGTCGCCTTATACCGCGGAGCGCATCAAAACCCGCAAGTTCTAAAAGTCCTACTGTCTGCTCTAAAATCCTCCAAGGAGCCTCCGTCAATACAATTCGACATGTCCCGCCATGGATACTGTTCAGTCGAGTTTGCAACGCTCGGTCGACCATTCCCTCCTATCAATTCTTCCGGCTACACTCTTGCAGCCTGGGCTCGTTTCGACGAGTTCGATTCCAACACGCATACCACTATCTTTGGAGCATTCGATGCAAGCCAAACATGTTTCATTCTTGCCTATCTTGAAAAGAATACACGGAACTTTATTCTTCAAACTTCAATTCGAGGTTCCCGTCCTAGTGTCCGGTTCAAGTCGGCAAAATTCGAGACA